CCCCCCCCTCCCCCCTTGAGCTCACACCCGTCCCGGCCGCGCTCGAAGGCATGCTGAATTCGCCGGGAGGCCGCGACGCCGAAGGGTCTCCAGAAGTACCCCGCGTAGGGCCGCGCGCCGTCGGGGCGGTCGTGGGGGGGGGCCTGAAACCACCACTGGGGGGCCCCGATGCAGCACCGCCGCCCCCCCACCCGCGCGAACTCGCGCAGAACGGCCTCGCAGCGCAGGACGCGGTAGGCGAAGCCCTGGTCCCGCAGCCAACTCTGCCGGTCGTGGGCCACGCGGAGCTCGTGGGTGTCCTGCGAGACGAGGCTGTAAAAGTACGCGCCCGGGTTGTCCAGGGACGGGGGCTTGGGGCGGAGGATGCGGCCCAGGCGTTGGGCCTCCTGCCGCCGTGAGGCGCCGAGCCCGGAGAGCTGAATGATCACCGACGCGCAGGGCAGGTCCAGCGCGACGTCGCCGACCCGGGTCAGGAGGAGCGCGTGGAGCTGGTCCGAGTGCTGGAAGTAGGCCAGCAGGTGCTCCCGCTCGGACTCGCTGGTGGCGCGGTCCATGAAGGGAAGGTGCAGCTGCTGCGCGTAGTAGCGAACCTCCGCGAGGTAATCGCAGAAGATCAGGACCTTGTCGGGCGGGGAGCGGTTGCGGTGGAACTCCAGCAGGGCTTGGGTGCACCAGAGCTTGTACGGGTTGCTGATGGCCATGCGGCGCGCAAGGGATTGCGCGGAGCTCGCGGTCCCCGGGCGGCGCGGTCGCTTTCGGGGACCCCGGCGATCGCCCGCCAGGGCCGCATCCGCATCGAGGCCGCCGTCTCGCTCGTTCGAATCGCGCCCTTTCGGTTGGTAGGTGCTGGCCATCGTGGCGTAGACGTATTCGGTGAAAAATGAAGCCGGCATCGGACACTGCACCTCCGCACACTCCATCTTCGCCAGAAACCCCGCGCGGGTGAGCGCCAACCAATTTGCCTCGTAGAGCTTGGGGCCGACCAGGTGGCGTAGGTTGGCGATCCGGTCGTCCTCTCGCAGGAGGGTGGCGCTTAACCCCAACACACACTTGTAGCGAATTTTATTCAGCACCTCCTGGAAATGACGGGCAAGGGCAGTGTGAACCTCGTCGAGCAGGAGTAATCCCCAGGTATTATTTTCCACCATGCGCAGGATCATCTCGGACTCCTTCGCCGTCGTCCCGGTGGCCCGGCCCCGCTTCGCAATCAGCATGCTGTAGGTCGTGATAAAAATCGCACCGGGCTTCTGCTTGTGCTTCGCCGTACATACCGTGACTTCCTCTTCCGGAAGATTCGTCCAGCGCAGAAACTCGCGCCGCCATTGAAAGACGGACATGTTGTTAATGCACAAGACAATGGTGCGCTTTTTCATGGAAACCGCCGCGCCGATCCCGGTCAAAGTCTTCCCCGCCCCACACGGCAACACCACCACCCCTTGGTGGGCTTTATTTCCACGCCCGAATCGCTCCAGGCTCGCCACCTGATACGCGCGCAGGCGGACTTGGCTTGTAAAGGTCAGGTCCTCCACATGCAGCGTCGGGTCCTGCCGGTAATCATAAAAACAATCCGCACGCACGCCAAACTGCAAAAACAATCGCTCCTTGAGCTCTCGCAGTTTCCCGTGTTTTACTTGGCTTTTGTACACTAGTCGGGTGGGATGAGAAGGCGAAAGATGGCGTTTGGGATCGTTCGCCGACGTTTTTGAAGTGCTATCCACATAGGGCGGGATCGAAGCGAAGAGTCGGCGAAGCGCGGCCGAACGGCCGGCCTCCGGGATGTTCGTCTCCTCAACATTTCGATCCACATCAGACAATACCCACCGCGTCGTACCGTGCAATATAATGGGCTCCAGGTACTCTTTTAACTCCCCTACAACCATCTCCAAATGCGAACGATTTTTGGATACGAGGAAGTAAAAGAGCTCCTCCGTGTTCTTTCCAGCATCCGGGGGGCGAACGTGCGCGTCGGCGGCCAAAAAATCCTGACCAGGGGCGCCCCCGAAACGTCGGAGTCGCGGCTGAAGTACAATCTGCATTTTGGACGAGTCTTCCTCCTCCGCAAGCATATCGTTAATAAGGGCGGGCAGCGGCCGCGGCGTCCATCGCTCCGGCTCCTTCAAGGCAAGCGCCACTAAAGGTGTGGTGGTGTAAAAAATACTCGGCAGCCGCTCGGCGTTCGAGTCCTCAGGGCAGGAACCCTTCGCAATTGTGGGTGGACGCACCTTGAGCGAAAGCACACGAGGGCGGCGCTCCACAACCGAAACGGCGGCGCCGGAGACTTTGCCCAACCCCACCGCCTCCTCCTCCTCCTCCATCGCGCGATCACGAGCGGAAGGCAATGGACCCTCCGCCGGGGAGGCCAGACAGGACGGAAATTGCCGCCAGTAGGACATCCTCAGGTCCACCTCTGCCGCCCAGTCGACATCGCCGCGGTTGGTGGGTTCCCGCTCCTCGTTGAGACCTTTACTGGGGGAAAAATTATCGACCCCCACCCAGGCCTCGAGGTTCGATAGCTTTTGGAGGTCAAGCGGGAACTCCCCTGTGGGGTCGATACGGCAATACTGCAAAACATTGCGAATCATCTCACAGGTGTAGGTTCCCTCCGCATTCGCCGCGGAAAGGGAGAAGCTGTCGATGCGGTACTGCTCGATGTGGTGGGTGCGGCTGACGGGCTCACAGCATGAAATCAGAAAATCGGAAACATGGGGATATACCGGATGGCCGGTCTCGATGTACAGATTGCCCGAATCAGCGACTAACATACGACCATCCGAGGTGGAGATTCAATGGGGGATAGGTCAGTCTTCGCCTTATCTAACTGCAGGACTAATTGGGCGATGTGGGCCAGTTACCGTGCGCGTAAGATAAGAGGTCGTATGTGAGGTCACACACACACACACACACAACCAGACAGACAACACTAAAGGAAAACAATTAGGGAGTAGAAAAAAATGCGCTACCACACGCAGGAGAAAATTAATAGTAATTGCGAAAAGGACACAGCATTATTAGAATTACTTATATTGAAATAATAAATTCACAGAGAAGAAACTCTATTAGTCAGCTTTAGAGTGAATATCACATATTACCTAAACTAGTTTTGAATAAGAATGGTAAAAATTTCAAATCATTATTAAGGCTCTTTCTCCAAATTTCACTCTAAATTTTGAAAATAATAAGCACAATGCCATACACAGCAGTAACCTTCGCCCATCTTCCAATAGAATTATCTGAAATATTCTTCGAGATTCGCTGAATTAACCATGTGTTACTATTCGATTTCAATTAGATAATATCAGATTATGATAAAAAAGTTAAAAGTTCATGAAAAAGAAAGATCAGCTGAATAGCACATAAATATTGATATAGTGGATCGTATGTGTGTTGATGTTGATTTTTTTTTGAGTTCAGAAAAGCTGCTAATAACTGGAACATTCAATCAGATGCTTACCGGATGAGATT